ACAATCCGGGAGGATATTTTCTGATTTATTGTCATGGCAACATGGTTCCTTGTGTTTTTCTACTTTTTTCAAGGACTACCTTCCATTATCTTTGGGCAGCAGCGCACAGCTGGCCCTTGGCGGCACCGTATTCAGTGGCAGAACAACGGGCAGGTTTACAGTTTACTTAGCACTGGACCAGAGTTCCAAGCCCCGGTTCGGTCCAGAACCCTGTCGAGGGTTTATGCTAACAGCAGGGGGGGTGACACCAGCAGTAATGTACCAGGAGTGTATAGCAGAGCCAGGCAGGCTGAACCCAGAACCCAGCCAAGAGCAGCTTCTGCCCCAGGGCGCGATGTTAGGCAGTATGTCATCCTCAATGGCCGAGAGTCAGGGGCCAGACAGCGGTATGAAAGCCCTCCCAGCGCAGGAGCTGAGAGCTATCCACGCTTTAATGGTCAGCACGTCAACGTTTCACCGGGAACTTCAACAGATTTCACAAACAGAAGAGAAGTCGTGGATAATGTAGCGCGACACCCCAGAGGAGGAGAACCAGGGCTCGATGCGCAAAACCAGCTTTTACGCACGGGCCCTGGCGCGACGCACGTCTCCCGGCAACCTGAGCAGACGGATCACTCCATCTCCACGCGCCTCTCAGCACCGGAGACTGAGTCCGGGGCTCCTGCCCGGCTACCTGAGAGTGCCGATCATTCAAACGAGGCGACTGCCGATGGAGAAAACATGGTTAACGACGACCCTCGAAACCCATTCAAAAGCCACAGGAATTCTGTTTTCTACAACGTGTATCCGACAAGAGGCAGGGCCCACACTCAACGTCCACCTGGCGCAGGATATGTGACAAGATATTTCCAAAATGGTGAGTCAAGTGGACTTTTCGTGTTAAATTATTTCAGTTACAGTGTTTGGAAAATAACTATGGGGAGCTTGTGTGGACATCGGAACTTTAAATGCTTTAAGATATTTTAACTGTTATTTCACTTCTACTGAGTTAAAATGAACCAGACTGGCATGTATTAAGAATAATAATTCAAACTCCTAATAGTCTGCCATGACAAGTTGTTTTTAAGCAAGCACAATGTCTCAAAAACAAATATGAATTATTTCCTCAAACAACTTAAATCTGAATATTTAAGCCTGTTAAGGCAGCAACAAACATCCTCCTGCCCTCCTGCACTGCAGCAAGGACAGGGTGTCTCTTTTAATGTCCTTTAAAACAAAGTCTTTGGATTATATTTCTGGGGAAAAGAATGCACGGCAGTCACTCTGTTTAATTTAATTTGAGAACAGTAACACGTGACTAATTAAATTAAAACAAACCAAATTTTACAAATCATCAGCATCTTAAAATCGGGTAAACTATATTTTATATCTGTATGACATATTACCCAAATAGTACAGCTGTGGGACAAGGAACATGTTTTCTATTGTCTATCAAATAATGTTTTTCCATTCTCTGTTGAGAAAAAGTTTTATATAAGTTACTTGGACAGAGGAAACTTGGCAGCACAGACCGGAGGCAGAGAATAACACCTGGAATCTTTATTTCCTCAAAAGAAAAAGAAAATCTATGTATTTACTTGTAGGAAGAGAAGTAATCATGAAAACTAAAGCTGTTGCTAAACTCATTGTCTTCGCTGAGTCATTTTAATTACAAATATGTGAAACCAAATGTAAGTAAAACAAATCAAATCAAATCAGAATATTTTTGACTGGCTGAAAGATGGCGTGGTGACTTAAAGCGGGAAACTTCCAGCTTGTTGTCCTCAAGCATGAGTTTAACATCTCTGAGGATATCTGCTTCCATTCAGACCAAAAACATGTCATTTATTGGGCACTGGAAACCAGTTAATGGAGGGACTGCAAGAACAACCTGTACAGTCTGCAAATAGAAATGTTACATTCAAAGTAATTGAAAAAACAAGACAAGAATTAGGCAGATTCATTGGCTAATTCCAATCATCCATCCATCCATCCATCCATCCATCCATTATCGTTACTGCTTCTTTCCTAATGGGGTCGCGGGGGGAACTGGAGCCTGTCCCAGTGGTCAATGGGCGAAAGGCGGGGTACACCCAGGACAGTGTGCCAGTCCATCGCAGGGCAATAATTACAATCAATTTCCCATAATAGATGGCAACGGTCCCACTAAATATGTTATTCTCTCTTATTCTTTATTTTCTCTGTAATCAATCAATTAATTGTTATTAATATGGCCCAAGCACCTATAATATACATATATATGTATATATCAGTTTGGATCAATTGAATATTCAAAAGATTGTTAACACAGATTTTCAATAAAAAAACAGAATGTCAGAAAAAAAATCAATTCAGTTACTTAATAATCCTTAGATGAACAGCTGGGGCGAAAACTCTGCCTAAGTTATACCAGCTAAATGAAACAGGTGCTCATAAATTTACCCCAATAGAGAATGCTTTTGACAATGAATTGTTCTCTGCATGAGTAAATTGACATAACATCTCTGAGAAAACCTGGATTTTCTCTTATTTCTCCACCCCAGGACTGCCAGACCTTGTGCCAGACCCATATGCGATCCAGGCAGGTGCTTATATCCAGCGCATGCAGATGTACGCGCTCCGCTGTGCGGCTGAGGAAAACTGTCTGGCCAGGTAATCTGAGGTGCCAAGGGCTTTCAGTTGTTCACCGTGCACATGGAGGCCTACAGGCTCCAATACAGACCAACACTGAGACCTTCATTCACACACGAGTATTTCCTTTGCTTTCACTCACTGGAGATTCATTTTGGGTGGTTGCAGCCTGAAGTTGTTTTAGGATTGCTCTCAGTTGTGTTAGTTAAGGCTGTCAGTGTGTTAGAATAACTGTTTTGTTGATAGAGATACTTACTATGGAGCAGTGACTTGCCAGCATCGTGTCTCGCCAAGACATAAATGTTCTGGGTTGGTTTTCCCAAAAGCATAAAGCTCAGTGGAACAAACAGTTAGTGCTCTGTTACTTTAAAGAGAACCAGAGCCAGGAGCTCAGACAGTGGCCCTTTCCAGCACAGTTTATCCTTGTTTCCTCTGTGATCCATCCCAGGTCTGCTTATGCGCCCACCGTGCGGGACATCGACTTCAGAGTCCTCTTACGATTCCCGCAGAAAGTGAAGAACCAAGGAACCTCTGACTTCCTACCTGTCAAGCCCAGATATCAGTGGGACTGGCACAGCTGTCACCAGTGAGTTTGCTTGGCTTAAAGTGAAAAGAAAAAGAAGTCCCATCATAATAAAAAAAATGTGTGGGTTTGTCTATTGCCATTCAGATACTATGAAAAAAGGAATTACTCCCCATTTTTCTTTGGTATTTTTGGTTCATCAGTCATCGCCAAATTGGCATTTGTATTCTTTTTTACAACCTTCCCCCAGGCACTACCACAGCATGGATGCCTTCAGTAACTACGACCTGCTGGACGTGGTCACGGGACGTAAAGTCGCCGAAGGCCACAAGGCCAGCTTCTGTCTGGAGGACACAGGTTGTGACCCTGGATTCAGACGACGCTATGCCTGCACAACCCATACACAGGTGAGAGGCAGGTATATGCTGTATGTCATGTAAAATAAAAGCCCTGAGATTGGCATCAGTAGAATCAGTTATTTGTGAACATTTCTTTTCAGCTTTTTTTATGGTTCTGAAAAAATGCTGCTGATTTTGCCTAATTCTGTAACTATAAGTGAGTCAGCAGTGTGATACCTGTCAAAAATTAGGAAAACATTAATCGGAATATTCTAAAAAGAGTATGTCTTTGACTGGATAGTGTTTTTCATAAAAAAGGAGCTGCTGTTCTATGATTGGCTGCCATATGCTTAAGAGCCACTTTTAAAAATTGTTTGGACAAATCTTCCAGATCAACTTTCAGAAAAGTATCTGTAACTAAAACTCTGGTACATACCACAGAGAAAAGACCATTCCCAATGTTCCTGAGAACATGGGAACGTTTATTTTTCTGTTGTCTGGGCTCTCAGATTCGGGCTTTGCTCTTCTTAGTGTAGGTTTCCTATAACAACTTCTCATCTGAGAACTGTTTTTCTAACTTATATTCAAAATGTGCTTCATTTGCTGGAAAATCTCAGTCAGATGTCCTGATTAGCAGCTTTTATTAACAGCAGTCTGTGGGCTGGCTTGTGTTTTCAGGGGCTGAGCCCAGGATGCCACGATACCTACGCTGCCAACATCGACTGTCAGTGGATTGACATCACTGATGTACCGCCAGGAAACTACATCTTGAAGGTAACATTTGTCACACAAGTTTCAATCTTTTGACATCAAACATCTGCCAAAATTCTGCCAGCAGAGCTGCAAAGTTTCTTCTTTTTTTTTTTAGGTTACTGTAAATCCCAATTTCCATGTTCAAGAGTCTGACTTCAGTAACAATGTTGTGAGATGTGAAATCATGTACACGGGAATTTACATTCAGACACGCAACTGCCGCATAACAAGGTACTGTGAGTTTTTCTGTAAATGCATGTGTTAACTTTCAATTCAGGCATGTTGCACACCTTGCTAAGCTTAGAATAACTTAAATATAGTGAATGAAAATTAAAGATTAATAGTAATTCTTGAAATTATTGGATCAAATCTTTGGTTTTGCTGAAAAACAGGGACGTTAAAAAGTGGAAAGATTGCTGTCCTTAGTTCACAGCTGAGGAATATGTCCATATTTTTATGAACATGTTGTACACTCTATGTTTATATCTATTTATGTTCATTTTCAGGGGTTGAAATCTTCATTTCCTATGATGTTTTGAGGAGTTTTGCTGCAAGACATCTCCCCAAGTGCTGGACATCATCGTCACGTTACCAAGAAAAAGTTGCAGTTGGCAAAATTGGTGTTGATTGTGGTTATAAAGTTCTTAAGTTGCATTAAATACAATATATGTGAAAACCCATTTTCTTAAGTTGAACAGTTGAATTCATAAGGACTTGAACACAATTTGCAAATACTGTCACTTTTCCTGCCTCTTTGTTGATTAACTGCTTTAAATATGTAGTTTTGTTGTCATCTGTTTTGTCTTGTTTTTCTTCTTTATGTTACTGCTGTGTGCAAGGGATTTATTTCAGGATTTATAGTCATTTTTTTGTATTTGTGTCACCAATTCTCATGAGAGCCAAAACCAACTAAACATTCACTGAATTGAACACAAAGTAAGTAAGTGCCATGAAAGATGCCTTCAGGACCGGCTCCATAATTTGTAAATCGCTAACATAGCTTTGCATGGTGAATATGAACTAAATTTGCACAAACAGCAGAAAAAAAACAAATATATGAAATAGACGAAATAATCTAAGCAAATCTGTTATCCATGCTTATTCATGAAAGTCTATTGTTCACTCAACATTTAGCACAACTTTTACAGTAGCATATCTCAGGGTTGTACATTCAACTCATTTCAAGTGGTCCAGGAAGGAGGTGCAATATTTCAGTGTGATTTTTTTTTGTATGCAAGCCATGATCTCAGCCATGGTCTCAAAACCATAACCAGAATTTTCAGAGATGATAAAACAATAACGAAACAAAAACTTAATCCTGAAGTGACAAACAGAGTCAGGGTGCAGTTGACCTGGGTGTGTTTTGGTGTCGTGTTTTATCTACCAACACCACGAACATGCAGACTTGTGTCTTAAATTTGATGCAATATTTTCACACCCTGTCACATGAAACAAAGTCAGGCTCATAATTCAGTTTGGTTTTGGTTTTGTGGCATCAAACCCCAACGTCCTCTCAAGGCTCTTCGAAAATGCAGCCTTTTGTTGTTTATTTCAGTTGTGCTCTGTATCTTTAGGGGCAGCTGTAAACATCAAGATCATCTGACTTTTCCTTTAACCTCTTTGTGGTCATGTTAAACTTCAATTCCATTTAATATCAAGAGCTATTGTGTGTTACTGAGTGAATGTATATGTTGATACTGTTTAAATATCTGGGAATTTACTACATTCTGTTTGGTAAGTTGAGTTTAAAGCCATTCAGTTTTTTTTATGTGTCTTTTATCATAACTAATGTAGCTAAGTTAAGTAGTATATATGTGAAATGCCCACATTTCCTCTCTTAAGATTTTGATATGTAAATGAATACATGTGTTTTATTATTAAAACTCCAAAGAAAATAACAGAATGAAGCATGTTGATCCTTACAGCTGCACACTGGAGGACGAAACCAGTTTTCGTCTTCCTTCTGTGGAACGGCGGAGCAGGTTGTGGCCTCAGAGACAAACAGGCCTGCAGGCAGTTCGGGTGGCATGTTTGCTGACAGACCTCTGTGAAGACACAAGCTGCAGGATCTTATACATCCCTGCCACATATACCAAATCACATCCAGAGAGCAATGAATGGACGCCTTTTCTTGCAGTCTGCTTTTTTCTTAGCTAAGAATTACGTCCATGAGTTGCAATAAAGGACTCCTCCATGGCTCAGAATCCATAACTTCATGTCTCGGGTCAGATTCATCGAGTCCAAGATGCAGTGGCTTTAAATACGCTTGAATATTTAGTCTTCATAGGAGGACTGATTAACTATCTCCAGCTTGCCAGCAAAATATGTTTTCTAAGAACAAATGTGTTTTTGCAAGACATTTTAGACGGCTTCACATGCCAAACAAATGACAGAGGAAATAAAGCTGATGGATGGCGTTCACTTTTTACTGAGAAGGGCTTTCCTAATTAAAAGAATTTACCTGGAAAATAAATCCCTGTTTTGACCAATTCTCACCATGAAGTGGTTTTGAATGATGTACTGGAACACACACCCAAGACAATGTATGCACTGTTAAATGCACAGGTGCTGGCTATTTATAACATGAAACATGTCTCCGTCTCAGTTTAAGAAAACAATGAATCAGGGAGATTAAGCACAACTGAAATAGTTCAGAGGTTGCCAAGGTGTGTCCGCGCCAGCATAGATTGTGTATATTACTGAAAATGTCTGGAAAATTCCCCACACTCTCATTTTTCTACTCTCTCCACTATAGAAACCTACCGTTAAATGCCAGAATCGTTAGACTTGTGCTTACAAACTAAATTTAAATTTAGACGTGCTGCTGCCATTGCACGATTCAACAAGCAACTCCATCTCACAACATGCGGCAAATTCCTGTTGTTACCGATCAGGGATCAAAACAGTTAGGATGATATTGTGGTGGGGTTTAATAATGTCCGAGTTTAACACCACCCTATACTATCATATGCCTCATAAAATGATGATTAATGTTTTAAATCTTCAAGGATGATGGCAAGCAATTTTTTTAGATTAGATAAGGATTCATTTTACCTTGGTAACATCTGATGTTGCTATGCATAATAATTTTTTCCCCAATTTTGCTCCATCTCTTCTTCTCCTATGACTCTTTGCCCATTGGCAACTAAAGCCCACCCAACCGTGACTGGTCTGTATTGCTCAGACTACAAATTAAACCATTGCCATTTAATTCTGCAAATATGTAAATGTCAGTCCGCAGACATTAGCTCGGGGGCTGGAATGAGCTGACACACATCACGGTAACAGTAAAGAACAGGAAAAAGCTCTGTGTTACTGAGTTGTAAAGTGGTTGCGAGTGGATTTAATAGTTGATGCAGTAAAATGATTCGTCATTTATCCTTTGTATTATTCTGTTCCTGCAGAGGGTGACCAACACATGGAGCCACTAGCAGGCAGCCAAAATGACATACATTTAAATGTCAGCCATATGCAATCCAACACACAGAAAGTGGCTTTATTTCTTTCACCATGTTGCTTTAAACATTTATGTTTTTATCATTTCTCACTCTGCCGTTTCAGCTTATATATATTTTAAGTCAGATCAGCATTTCCATCGTTATAGTTAGAGGCATTATCTGTCATTTCTTTGGGATAAAAATGGACATTGAACTCTGGTCATCTCCCCCTCTCTGGACCAGAATGTCGTTTTAAACATGTCGTGCTCTGGAGAAGACTGTTTGCTTAGCTGTGAAGCTTCTCACCAACATCTGGACTGTTACTTGTTAGCCCTACACAAGCAAAGTGCAGACGTGACAAAGCCAAAGGGGGAAAAAAAAAGAACACACAGGCTGGCACATTCAATTTGACCTTATGATATACAGGTAGGTAAGGTGTGGCAGGAGCCTGCAGCCTACACTGAACATACAATAGCAAGGAGAGATATTTTCCAGATACATCTGCACGTAGGTGGGCAGTGTTTGGAGAGGTTACTAAGGGCAGGGTTTGGTATGTCAAGGTTGTATTTCAACAGAATTGGCCCACGTGAGAGCGGGCTCGGGCTTAACAGACGAACATCCCCGGCCCAAAACGAGCACATTGGCAGGTTGGTTTAGGCACGGAGCAGAGAAATTCCTCAGCACTTCTGTCATGCTGCTGAGATTATGAACAGAGCCAGGGTCCGCTGCAGACCAGTAAGGGGGCATGGGGCAGACACAGCGAGATACTTCCTCACTCCAGGTCACTTTCATAACCGGCAGACTCGCTGTCAAAAATGACACCGGTGACCGCGTCCAGCTCAAACCGTTGGAGAAAACATGTCTGAGTGGGACTGATGTTGCCCTTTCAAACTGGGTGGTATTGTAACTTGGGTGGTATTTGGAGGGGTGGCTTATAGGATTTGCTATTGTTGATCCACGTACTGTCTCTAAGCAGGTCAACTCGTTCTTCATGCACGTGCATTAACTTTTTCTTTCATGCTGTCTGTTTAGAGCTCTTTTCCCCCATTCATGAAGGCAATGGCAAATTTGCTACTTTTTGCTGGGATTTTTGGGAATTACTTGATGTTGCTTCATATAATCTGTTTTTTAAGATGAAACAGAAAAATATCAGTTCTTATTATCTTATTAACAGAACTTGAATACCGAATATAAGTTTTAAAATTGAGCAACTTTGGCTTGTTATCAGCTATCTGTGTCTTACTGGAGAGTCTGCATTTGTTCCCTACAATACATATTTTTAGAATCGAAACAATGAAACCTTTCTTGTTGCAGAGTTTAGAAAAAACACAAACAACTGTAGTAAATGTATCCCTCTCTCACACACACATGATCCTGTTATGAAACCTGAACTGAACCAGAATTAGCACTAGCAATAACAGGCCCCTGTGAACATTGGTGAACAGTATTTTAGCATTGTGGCCGCATTGCATTACCAAAGCTTAACTTAACCTTCCTTTTTTTTCAGACTAAAATGTCTTTGCTGTCAGTAAATAAAAAATCTGGAACCTTTCAAATAGTTTTTAACCAGTAGTTCTTCATTACCTGTAAACTTAAGATGTGTCTGCCCGCCAAGACTTTAGAAGTCCTGTTGGACCCATTTGCACCTACTTGTTGTAACCATCACTGAGACAAAGACTGCAGTTGTTCAACATATTGTACTTTTCCATCTAGAGCCTATACAGACCGACAATCAATACTCTCCCAGACAAGCATTGAAAAAAAATATGGCATTAACAAGCATTTAAGTCATGTATTATTTTTGGGCCCGCGAGACAAAAGGAAGATGTTAGTAAGTGTTGTTCTTGGTCTGAACCTCTGTCAGACATTCCAGACTCTCTCCAATATTTACAAAAAAGCCACAGCCAGCAGCCCAGCCAGTGTGCCCTCTGTCTGACAAGATTCATAGACATGGTGTGCAGGAAGACTCGGACAGCAGGGAGAGACACAGACTTTGTCTAAAAGCCCCGGGCTTTGGATGCTGCAGACCTGTAAACTGCACGTATTTGAGCATGTTTTTCTCTTTAAATTATGTTGGCATTCATGCGGCCATCTCTTATGCTCATATATTTCTTTACATCTTTACCTTACACATAAATACTTGCTATATAAGTGAAAATGAGAATTTATATTTTAAAAATGTGCCTTTGCAGCAGCATCCTTATGATTAACTGGACTTGTCAAAGTGCTGAAATGGTAGTATTTTTTTCCTTTTACAGTTTGAAATGATTTCCACCAGATGGTAGCCAAGGTTTTAATTCATACAGAAACAACCACTTCATATTTTGTCACTGAAAAAGGGAGTACAATATTCAGCTTCTCTTCAATTCCTTGTTTTCTCTGTCTAATGACAAATATAGCATCTGAATTTTTGGATCTATTTGCAAACAAAGCTTGCTGTATGATTCTTATTGACTGAACAAAACACAGAAGTTATTCATAATAATAAATAAATAATTGTAAAAGTCATTGTGTTTTAGTATTTATGCTAAGTGTGCTCAGTTGAGCTTTTCTGAGCCCTTCATCTCTTGTTTGAAAAATGTTTGGAAGTATGTAAAGTTTATTCTACTTCCATGACCCTATTATGCAAAGACAGTCAAAAAGCACATATTCTGTTTGTAATGGAAACACTAATCACAAACTGTTGATTGATATGTCTTTAACTTGAAAATTATCCGCCATAGACGTTTTGGCAACAATATGTTTTTTGCATTTGTGGTGCGCACAGGGAGTTTTTCTTCCATTACAAGTGCATACTTGTGTGATTTGCATACTTACAGATCCTTTGTTGATCTTTTCCAAGCACCTCAAGCTTTCAGTGGACATGAAACATCAAACGTGCATTTTAAAATCTTGATTACTGCTTAAGTCAGCTGTCACTCAGCAAAATTACATTGATTTTATATTAAATCCTGTGTGTAAAATCCATATATACAAGTAAGATAGGAAAATTACAATAAACTGTAATTGTGGTCTCCCACGGTGTGAAAATGATAGGGGTTTATACATCTACAGAGGCAACTTGGTGGATTTGTGAGTGGAATCCATAATTATTTACAATATTTTATGCCACAATCAACTTGCTGAAAGGTTCTGAATAGTTCAAGTACATGAGAATGTTTCATGTAAGGCAAGGCACAGACAACACGTGTAGTTTATTTTAGAATTAGAACTTGACATTTAGCTGTTTCATTTACCTTGTCAAAAAGCTGTTTGTGCAAATTAGTACATTTCCAGCATGATAATAATCACTGCCTGTCCTCTTTTAAAATGTATGGAACTTTAAGAGAAATATTGCAAAGAACTGTTTTCACTATGTGACTCACTAGTCAGGCAAAAAACCCTCAAGCTTTGATACCCATATCTTTATATCCTAATTGTGCGGTCTGCATAAGAATTGAAATTTTCTGCAAAATTTCGGAATATCAACAAAACTGATGCACTTCAAATATCATTTTTAGTGTTTGTGTCAGTGATTTATTTTCTGTGATGCTTACTTCCGTGGCCTCGTCATTGAATATATTTGAGAAAGCACATGATTTAAAAGTCTTGAGTGAAGGCTGTATGGGTCTGGTTTTGAGGTTAGATAGTAAAAAATCAGAAGTACAGTGGGATGCTTGAGAGTCCAGAGCAACATTTTTCATCTTGAATGCTGACAAGTGGTGATGGCCCCTTACTCATGACCTCAATCTGCAGAGGTTTATCAGTTTACAACACTATTACTCAAACAGACAGTGACAAAATGACCGGGAGAGTAAACAGTTCATGTGTGTCATCCTCCATCTGTCACTGGGTCATACAAACCCCCCCAAAAAGTGGAAGAGGAGGGATGTTTTGTAAGAAAGATGGATAGTGATGCTTCTTCAAGGGAGGCGCCCCAATCGCAGAAGGAGCTTGTGAGAAGAGAGTGGTGAAATTCTCAGACAAGATTTAAACAAACACAGACACAGATGCTAGCCTGGCTGGCCACAATAGGCAAGAGAGACCACACACTGCCATTTCTAGATCAGCTCAAGAAGTATTTCAACAACTTACACGTCTGATGAAAATGCTGGTGTCATTGCTTTATTTCAAATTCAAATATTGGACATTCAACAATCAGTGAACCATCTCTAGAATGAGATTACTGGGATGTCGAATTGATATTTGTGAGAAAGTGCAAGAGAATTCAATGTATTGCAATTCAGTCTTTGCTCTGCCTGAGCTACTTTCCTGTTGCTCACAACTTTGTTGTCCTTTCACACTACATGCTGCAACAATCATGTAGAGGAGTGAAAAACAGTTTTATATATTCTATATTTAAAATATCTTTACAGCTGTTAACGTGACATAAACCTCGATATAGTCAACAATACTTTAGCTTCTATGTAGTCTATAGCTACCAAAAAATAGATATTTTTTGATGAAAAATAGAAAAATAATAAATTAGATTATCATGAAAATGTACATTTATGTTTCAGTTGGTGGTTGATGAGTAACAGTCTGCACCTAATTGGTCTCATTATTAGACAAACATGGCCAGCTTAATTTCAGATCGCTTGTCCTCCTCACTTTTGTGCTCACGTGACACACAGTGGCAAGTCAACGCTTGAGGAAGTTTTCTCTTTGGAAATATCCCCACCTTCAGGCCATGCTCAGTTCTCACCGGCTGACAGCGGGTGTCAGTGGCGTCAGCTCCTGCTGGAAACATCACAGACAAAAAACAGAAAGGACATATTTTTAATTCAGAACTCAGCGTCACCTGAAAGGGTTCGCTGTCATGTATTCAGAACATTTTAACACGCAAACACGCTTGTTTTCAAGGTTTGTCCCGCAGCATCGGTCTGTGTTGCACTGAGAGTGAGGCATTGTGTGTCCTTGTGAGTCACATTGCTTGGTTTCTGAGTCAGAGCCTTTCATCAGGTTTTTTATATATATATATATACACATGTCAAAAGATTTGTGCACCCACTCAGTCTGTCCTCACGAAGACTGTGGAAAACTTCACATCTTCAAAGCAATGGCAGTTTTTGGGGAGTAATGGCATTGACAGCATCACTGACAATGCAACTGAACTGTGGGCATTTACGATTTACAAATCAGTAACCTTATTCCTAAGAAGTCCCAAATAAGCAGTGATACACCATAAATATTGCAAGACCTTTCTGGTAATTTGCTCAAATCATATTCATCTAACACATTAAACCCCAGAATCTGAATCAATGTGGTAAAAACTTTGTTTTCAAGCTGACATTGTAATTCTGTGGAGTAAGCCCTCAAAGCCTGGGAGGCTATAAACTATAATTATCCAATATTGTTTTAATTATAATTTAAATTAGAAATATAATGAGGTTTAAAAAAATGTAATGGTTTCTAAAAAAAATAAGGCTTTCAGTCAATTTAATTTTAGTGGAGGGATGCCAAAAATCAAGGTGAAACCTTTCTTTAAACACAGCACTCTTGTTTTATGCTTGCCTTTTTTTTATACTCGATATCCTTGAGGGATAAATGGGTGGGAAGGACAATAGGCTTGTTACGTTGAAAAACTGGACAGATGTGTGAAGGGCTAACACAGAGAAGCTGTATCCTCCTGTCTGGTTAGAAAGTTAGTGCATGGTTGGTGATTATATCACCTATCATGATGGAACCAGTACACCTCCATCCACCAATCACTGCACTGCATCTCCCATCTCCGCTCCTGACTCTGATCTTATCTAGAACAGAGTTCAGAGGAAATGTTTCCTTTTTCTTGTGAATAGAGGGCAACTGATCTTTTTTTCATGTTGTTTGTGTTCTTTGGCCTGACTTGCTCCGTGGCTTTGAAATACCTTCTGTATTACCATATCTATGAAGGAGGACAACATCAGTATTGAAAAATCATAGCCTGCTATACAGCACTTTTCCAACAATTAGTTGAAGTAAAGTTAAGAAAATCATTGTGTATTGAATGTTCCCTTCTTTTGTTGCACATTTCAATAGTCCAATCAAGAAAAGAGGTTGAGAGAAACCTTGCTGTGTCTGTCTGGCTGTGCATGTCTTGGTTGCTTAGCAATGTCTTTTGCAAGCCGTTTTAACATTGGTCCTTCTCTAAGTGACTAATTCAGATGATTCAGACACTCAGAATGCCAGGAACATGGAAGCTTTCAAGAATTTGAAAGTGGAGCTTTGAAAAGAGAATGTCAGAGAGTACGTTTCTAATCGTGTTCCATATTTTAAAAGAAGAAGGAGAAAAAACAGCACACATGTTCTTTGTCAAAGCGTTTTATCTGTCTGCTGGCCTCGACCTGAGACCACAGCCTTGGAAGCGCGTCTCTTCCTGCAGCATTTTGTGTGGAGTGCTTCTTTTCTGAAGGCTGGTTCTACTGTTTTATATGGACATCACAAATATACCAAGAGTTTGCTTGACTCTGCTTTGGCACGTGGCTGAGGGGGTTTTATGATTAAAACCAGACTGTGCTTACCCAACTCAGAGAAGCCAGAAAAATAGATTGCAGTTACACATTGTCTGCACCAGAGGGAAGTACAGAAGCACAGCTCTCTCTGCATCATCTGCAAAAGGTGGACTTGTCGGAGGAATGCTTCACGGCATACATACACTATTTAATTTTCCAGTTCTGCTGCAGCCCTTTTTCCTAGTTGTGACCATCAACCTCTGGTTCACAGTCTGTAATGATAAATACGACCGTGGTAGGAGAGGGAAATAGGTCATCCTTATCAACCACAACAGTAAATTATGTCCATTCTGAGTTAGAAAAAGGATGAGCCTGTAAATCTGTTGCCTCTTTAGTGTCATATGATTGGAGTCAAGCTGCTTTTGGGTCTTTCTTTGCCAAAAAAAACTGAACCTCCTCCAAGTCTTGTTTCCCTAAAACACATGACTAAGATACACTGCAAAGAAAACATCTGTTTGAGAGTTCACAATGCTCTCTGACTTAAGGTGTTCAAATTAGGTGGCTAAAGAGCGGAAAAACAGGAAAATGTTAAAACTGCCCATGATTTCAGTCATGTTATGTTGTTTATTCAGGGTAAAATATCTCATCAAAGCTAATCACAAAAGAAGAGTAGTGGATGAGCAACTGAAAATGACTCACTCTGCCAGCTGATTTCAACCACATGTGTAACTGATGCCTAATGTTGTGTTCCACACGCCAAGACAGCCACATTCTGCAGTGTAGTGATGACTGGGAAATCATGTGATATCAACAAAATCCGACATTACGCCTCTCTCTCTCTCTCTATCGCTGCCCACACACAGACGCCATACACACACACACACACACTCACATACATCAAACACGAGTCAACTTGTAAGAGAGACGAGCCCTGACTTTGAACTCCGCTCTGCCGGTAAACAGAGCAAACATCATCAGCTGCAAGCTGACAGAAACATCAACATAGCGAAAGAGGAGGAGAAAAAAAAACTTACCACAAGTTGTTCCCCTGCTTGGTCCCACTCTGACCGCCACACACTGCAGCCTGGGGCTCGTGTTTCAGGCCCGAACGGTACTGGAGCAGAGCACCCCCGCCTTCACACCATGCTGGTGCTCTGGCGTGCTCTCACGGGGTAGGCCGGGGTCTTCACAGACTTGTGTGTTGGGTTCGGGCCTTTCCCACAGCGGCCATTTTGCGGGTAAGGCGGGGGCTTTTGAGTTCTGGGATTGGCGGTGCTGTTCCCGGTGATGACTTTTGGGTTGAGGGCTTGTGGGTGGTGATCCGGACATGTTTGGTCAGTGTGGTTGGAGTCTCGGGTGGGAAAAGGATGAGGCAGGTGGCCGTTGACGCCGAGCTTTTGTTGGACTTTGTGGTGACTGGGTGGGATGAAGTGGCTGGTTTTGACAACTGAAGCCATGTGGACAGGAGAGGGAGAGTTAGTTCTGAGGATGATGCGGTCTTCCTCAGCTTCCGGTGACGCCTGTGCTGAGGCAGACATTGGATTGGGCAGCTGCGCTACCCTGAGATCTCCTAAATGAGTTGAGGTGTGAAGGTGGTTTAAAGATGCATGGACAGACACCTCCTCACTGACATCAATGTTGGCTGTAAGACGGTCAATCTGCTGGACCACCTGAATGAAGATAGAAAAACCAGAGTAGAACTAAACTTGTGTCAGGTTTTACAATACGTTGAAATATCAGATTACTTTATCATAAATCACAACAAATGGTCAAAGTAATCCTGGTTCATAACTTTTGATCTATCACAGAAAGTTATGTCTTGTCACATAGTATTAAAAAAAAAGAAGAAAATATCATGTTTGAACAAGCTGAATATTTGCTTTATCTTTATTTCCTTTCCTGATCTCCACTGGTTCATGTTCTTTTGCTACTGCCTTAGGTAAGGATCAGCTCTTCAAAGCTACCAACAATAGCTTTACCTTCATGGGTGCAAGTGGCATCAGAAGCAATTTGAGTGTTGAACTTGAAAAACAAGAATGAGAATATGTTGCAATTTCTCAAATGTAACCTTTTTTTCCAGAACTCTTTGCTCTCCAAATGTCCTAATTCACAATCGTCGAAATCTTTTATTCATACCTATGTCACACCAGGCTTTGCACAGATGCATTCAGCTGTGAATTGATGCTCATTTCCAGCTGCATGCAAAATGGATGGTGTGAGAGCAAGGCAGGATTTAGGAACCGTCTAACACCAGGCTTTGTAATGCTCTGGTCGGAACACAGCCAGTTACAGCAGCACTCTGCAAAAGGTCAGCTCAAATTGTCTTCAATCACTGCCTCGGTAAGAGGTGACGGTTGACTCACAAACAATGCTGTCAGCATGTACAGACACAGAGACCTTCTCTGACGAACGTTCACACAGATACACAACCCGTGTGAAACTTCCCAGCGCTGTGGCTCATTTTCTCAGCATCTGAGCTTTCTGATAATCGTTTTAAATGTCAAAGTAACCAGAGGAAACTTGAAAAGGGCAACGGACCCAGACATTCATGATTAGACACCTGTTTAAAGTGTAAGGATTAAATGTCTTTAATTATAGAGCCTCCTACCTCTTTCATCTCAATGTGAACTTGCTTCAAACCCCCCAGAACGTCCTCCAGATCTGTCACCACTTGTCGGATTTGATCCCTCACCGAATCCTGCTTCCTTCTCTGCTTCATCACCTCCGTACCCGCGTTCTGGTGCTCATTGTTGCTTTGCAATTTGGAGGTTTCTAAACAGGTGATGGTGGGGGCAGGGGCACAGGACCCCTTCCGTCTGCTTTGGTTCAAATGCTGTAGTGGGACTTCAGTGGGGAAGAATCCTTTATAAGAGCCACCGCAACCATTAAAACCCTTCTCTGATCCACCCTTCAGCTTGCAACAGTCCTGATGGTTATCTCTTTCCTCCCCTCCCTCAAAGAACACAGGTCTTGGTCCACTGTGGCCATTTTGCATGTGCAAATGACACAACTGTGGATTATGGGTCTCCAAATGATAGTTCTCAGAGCTGCATCCGCAGTCCTCCTCCTCATCCACAGATATGTACCGGACGGTCCTCCTGCGTGTGTATCCCTGACCTTTGACCTGAAGATGAGGGAGTGGGTGTGGTATCCCGGTGTGGAAGGGGTGTGCCCTGGTGTCGCCGTGCACCACACAGCCACACTGTTCTCTCACAGATGAGTAGTGTCTCACCCCAGGCTCCGGAGGGTAGTTCCACTGGGCAGGGTTCAGTTCCCAGGGGTAGACTTGGTTGCAGTCATTTGACTGGCTGTAAGGGCCCAGCCCTGCAAACACAGGCTTCCTCTGTGGGCTTCGAGGACCATTCCTTTCAACCCTATCCACTAGGAGAGCTCTGCCTCCTACGTCTTTAACCCATGGAGCCTGGATGTCTCTCCTGCTGGCCAAAGGCGGGTGGTCTGTCCGGCTGGCTGATGCTGGCAGGTATCCGGACCCGTGGTGATTGTCAAATGGCTCATTGTCGTAGATGCAGTACTGGCAGGAGCAGGGGGTGGTGGTGTTGCTGTGCTGAAGAAATCGATGGTGTCCCGTTGGTTGTGAGCTTTCTGTGTACATGTCCAAAGAAGCCCAAAGACCTGTGTCGAAAACGCCTTAGTAAACAGCGGGTTTCCTCCCCTCCAAGATCTCTCTCGCCCAGTCATTCACTCGCTCTGTTTTCCTCATCTGCGTCTTCCCACAAGTAAACTTTTCCCCAGCTCTTTTTTACACTCTCCCCAAGACTTCTCCCTCCCCTTCCTTCCTGTCTGTTGTTTCCCTTCGTCCTCTCTCCCGTAACTGTTAATCCTTGAGTGCGTACTTTCCTCAAACCCTCTTCCTTCTACTTCTTCTAACTTTTTCTTGCTCCTTCTTCTTCCTCACCCTGTAGCCCTCTATCCTACAAGGGGCCCCTCTCCACCTCCCTCCCTCTCTGTCTGTGTTTCTACCTCTCCCGCCTCGTTGTTCTGTCTCATTTGCTGCTGCAGGCGTCCAGTCTCTCCCTCTCTCCGTCTCTCTGGCAGTGTATTTCCCGTCTCCTCCCCTCCCCTCTCCCGCTCTCCTCTCTTTCCCCACCTCTTACGGCTCCCTGCCTCTGGTATATTCTCTCACATAGTCGGCTGTACCTTGATTTGAGAATTCCTTCTTTCCCCACCACCTGAATTCCATTCGCTTTGTGAAGCTCCTCTGGTGAAGAACTCCATGTGGCATTCTGTTTTCTCAGAGAGTAAGTGGAACTGTGTCAGCTGCGGTCCTTAGCTCATTAGTCCAACTCAAGCCTTTGCACTCTACAATTAAATGCTGCCTGGGATTCCTCGGCCAGAGACCGACAGAGAAGGAGAAGGGAGGGGAGGAGAGAAACACGAGGGGAGGTGGGGTTTTTAAACATAGACAGACAGGGGAGACAGCCCTCTGAGTCAAGGAGACACAGCTCCTACTTTTGTTCAAAGAGAATGATATCCACTTTCCTTCTGTTAATCAGTTTCTTACCCTCTCTGCTTTTGTCCACTTCAGTCATCCTGAATCTATCATTATCTGAATTTCGGTAACCTCGGTTGAGCAAAACTTCACACTGTCGAGGCAAGCATAGACGCTATGTCAGCAGCTCTGAGGAAAAGCACGTTCCTCTCAAGTCCACACAAGAATATGGACGTGGAATAAATGGCGTTCTGTGTTTGTTTGTTTTTTGAATGTGTGTGTGTGAGCTCTTTCTCACTACGGCACGATAAGATAATCCACAGATGAATAGAATAAAAGCAAAAGACTGACAAAACTAAAAAACTAGGATTAGCAACCAAGATCCCGCATTGCTTGTGAAGTAGTTTTTTGTCTCAGTGACTGAGAACAGTCAAAAGTTTGTTTTCAAAGGAAATAAGTGGATCCTGGAAAACAATGGTTTCTAAAAAAGGCTTGAGGATTACAGCAGAGGAAGATGAAAGGGATCCATCTATCCTATACTGGAGGATGAGCGGGATAGCTGATGTAAATTGAATACACAATTGACTATTTCATTATGTGAAATAATTATAAAGAATAATACTTACACATCCAATACTTTCAGAGCAAGCACAAGCATTCGCCATTAGTCCGTCAAACAGACACTCACTTTCTGTGTGGTTCTGAGCAGGCAGCTGCAGTGGATCATTTCTTTTGCGTTTTCCTTGCTGTAAACAGAGAGAAACCACACCAGCATTTCAGCACAGACAGACACCTAATTTTTTTAAACTAAAACAAGGTGACTTAAAATTATAACTGCCAAGTTGGCTGATAGTTTTCAGTGGATTAATAACTATTAATAGCCCTTTTGGCCCAATAGTGGTCACGTGACCTATGTGATATGACATAATAACATTAGCAGCTATAGACATCCCGCCAGGAAGGTCAGCATTTCCCACAATTCTACAACACCAGACTACAAGTACATTTTTATTTGGAGTTCATCAGCTTTTTAAGTAAGTTTGATATTCCTTGTTTTTGAGTCAAGTAAAATATTCACAAAATATTCAAAGGTTCACAATATGCTTGCCTGAGCAGAACTCATGTGGCACATCCTCCACCCATGAACATGAGCACACGACCACAACTCCATGCAATCCCATCTCATTCAGTTGGGTTCACACAACTCAGATTGATAGACAGAGCAGAGCATCTCTTCTATCTCTCAGCTTTATTTCAATATTTCTCGGGAGGGCCTCCTCAAGCAAATCTTCAACTACACTATATATGCACTTCAGAAGAAACATCAAAGGTCACAGCCTTCAAATGCTCTTCCTATAGTAGCTGTATATCTCTTTGTGCATGTGTGCGTCAGATGCCTGTGCACCTGGACACCACACTGTTTTGTCAGCCTGCCACTTCCTGCTTCACTGCACTGCAGAGGAGAGAATAGGTGCCACACTTCACCGCTCTGCCACTGTGAAGTCTCGTGTCTTCACCATGGTCAAGATGACCTAATTAACGCATATGGACTATAAATGAGTCTGTAACAACCGCTCAATATGGTGTTGGGAATGTGTCAGATGGCGAGGCCCCTTTGAGCCCCTCCAGAAACAGAGACCCAGATATTAACATCACTCGGAGTGCAAAGTGCATGTGAAATGATTGATGATTTGTTTGTATTAACAAGAAGTATGCTAGGCTAGTTTTAGCCTCATTAACCTTGGAGCCAGCGTGTTGTATTGATTTAAAATGTCTCTCAATTACTTAAAAGCTTGAGCGTACTTTGCTGTGTTTAAAATGTTCCCCTGTGGCTGAAATATGGTCAAATCCTTCAGATAATTGATAGACCAAACCAACATTGAAGGAAGTTAGATTTGTTCATGCCTGGGGTTGAGGTAGACCCTGGACGGGTCACCAGTTCATCACAGGACCACACAGGGACGAACAACCACACACACTCACATTCATTCCCACAGGAGGCTTTTGGACGGTGGGAGGAAGCCAGAAGAGCAAGACAGAACACACACATACACAGGGAGAACATGCAAATTCCACACAATAAAGGCCTCCGAAAGCTGGCACCCAGGGATAAATGGATGTGTGATGTAATGGAAGACAGTAACACAGGACTTTCATAAAGAAAAATCTTTCCAGAAGCACCAAAAAGGGAAAATCCTTGCTGATTTGAAAGTAATGAGTAGTATAGAGTAAAGTAATGGCTCTAGCTGTGGATATCTTATGATCAGGAGGAGAGACACTATCATAAAAAGTAAGATTATCTTGCAGGCAAGGTCATTGAAGGCAGAGTAAAGTGATTTACAATTGTCAAAAGAAAAATTGACAAAACTGCACAAAATTATTTGAGACCCATTTTAATACGCAAGGCTGAAAACTGTTTTTACCTTGAGCGTCAAAACCAAGGTTTGAGTCAAATATTACTTTTAAATTCCAACCAGCCTTGGTGATGTCAATTGATCGATTGCCGAGATGTTAACCAAAGAGTCTGAAAGAGTTTAGGGGAACTGAACACCCTGTGAGAACCTGAACATACAGAAGGGGAACATGCTCCACACAGAATGGTGTCCAGCTGGAGGAAAAACCAGGATCCCTCTTGCTGTAAGATGGAATGGACTTGCCGTCTTAAATTGCGATACTTTCATAGTTATGAGTAGCGTCTCCACATGAACACCACCCTACACAAAATAACAGGTTTGGGATACTCTGCCATCTTATGATGTGTGAACATAAGTGAACTCAACGTTACCACAATTTTGTTTGTGGACAAACAAACCGATTTAACTTTTTCTTAAAAGCTCTATTCAGGAAAAAGGCACAAAGCGTAAAGGAGTACTTTTGAAATAAATAGCTACAGGGGTCTCTGCATAACAAGGTTGTGAGACTGTATTGTTTTAGAAAGTAAATCAGTTTACCCTTTGAGCTTGCTAAACTAGAAAAATCCTCTTGTGATACAGAGTACACACATCATCACCATTGGCAATGAACTTTGTTTGAAACAATTCTATTTTCGTTTTGTATCTATGAACTGCATGTAAGATTCCCCAAAAATTTAAAAAAACAGACTCACTGCAACAGACTTTTTGTGGAAGCATTTTCAAATATTGTGTGCCAAGCTACAGTTGTTTTTTTAAACACTGAAACTCTGAAAATTGGGAAATTGAGCATGTCAGTTTAATAAGAAGTAACAAATTCATGCATCTACAGAAAAATTATTTTTGAATTAGGCTCCAAATGGGCTTCACACAGATCCTTTCCCGGCCCCAATGCCCTTGACCTTTTATTTCTCAACTTACCTGGATACACATTCCTTTTTTTATTTGGCATTCAGCAAAAGAATTCCAGCCTGAATCTGCCAAACAATTAACAAAAAGAAAATAACCAAGTCAACAAAAAACTGGATGAAGAAATGCCAACATGCAGTTTTTAACATGTCAGTTTGGCTCTGATGCGTGGAGAAAGTGTCACCCTCTGGAGGTTTTGACAGTGATGTATGTGTCATTTCCGGGCTTGGAAATGGGACTTCAGTATCAGACAGCAGAACACAGAGGAAGAACATGATTCATGAGTGACACCATGTTATGGAGTAAACTTTGGAGCCAATAAACCAGCTTAACCTCAACTTAATAGCAAAACGGTAGAAATGACTAGCTAAACAAAAAAGGGGAAAGTTTTAAGACAGTAAAAGGATACAGTATTTTTCAAAAGAAATATAAAAGAAGGATAATTAGTTTTCCCACTTTTTCTGGTTAGAGCTCTACACCTGAAAACCCTTGACAACAAATATCCCTTTTTTATGAGATTTACTGTATTAGTTGAGTCACAGAGGACCACAGGATGGAAGTTGGAACACCATTTCTGACACATCAGAGCAAACTAATGACTTGCTTGCTTTCTATTAAGAAAGGCCTACCACATTTTCGAAATCCATCTGGGTGTCATGAGGAAATTCTGAGACAAAGATATAGAATAGTTCTCAAAGTTATCCCCTGTTGATGTTATTAATAATACGGTCACACAATTTATAAAGATTAAGACTGCAAACGTTCTGTCAAACTGAGTTTAGGAACAATGCTCAAACCTGTGAAAATGTGCTGATTAGACAGTCGAAATACAGCACTGTGATGTAAAAGGGAAGCCTTTACCAAGTGTTTGAAAAGTTAGATTAGAACTGAAAGCAGTCATCATTCTAAACTCTCACTCACTTGGCAATTTTCCATGTAAGGAATCAAATCTGGTTTGGTTAACTCTTTTCTCCTATTTATTGTTTTACTTTGGGAATTTGGGATTATGGCTATTATTCAGAACCATCTTTTCTCAGTATCCTAAAGCTTAATATTACTGGATGAAATCACGTAGAAATATTCTTGTTTTTTTAAATATTCTAATTGAATCTAAGAAACATGGCTGTCAGTGCTGTTGCTTCAAAAATATTGTTTGTTTGGAGTCATTTTTTATGAAATTACTTATTTAAATTCCTGCATAGCTGGGAAAAAGACATCTTAGAATGCAATGAGCTAAAAATCTACTATTTGAGCCAATCATGTCATATACGGCTTTGCACCACGATTAGAAAGCACTGCATAATCAAGCTTTCAACAGCAGTAGTGATTCCCGCTTCTTAAACAGATTCAGTCTGAGTTGATAGTGATATAATAATGATACAGCTGCTCGTCCATTTTTTTGGCATGACTGTTGAAAAAATTGAAGAGTATCTTTGGCGCACTGCACCTTATGCGTCTCTTAGTCAACCTCTCTAGTACACCTATCTAATAAAGATTAATGATGGATAACAGATCTTTATCTGTTTTCATGCTATTCATCAAGTACAATGAGAGGGAGCCCACTGAATATT